AAAAAAAAAAAAAAAAAAGATTTAAAAGGACCTAACATAGCAAAACAGTGACCATTAAATCTGGCTTTAGGGACATTGGTTACCACTTTAATAATTTAAAATTTATTTTAAAAAGTCTTTAAAATATCAACTTCTCCCTTATGACCTCCAGTTTAAGCCAATTATTTAGAATTACTATGTAACTGCAAAATATCTACATTTCCTGTAAAGATTTGTTTGCATTCCTGTGCTCTAGATGGAGCCACTGACAAGTTCCTGATCAAACGCTCTGTGTGTGCATGTGGTTTGTTCACACGCTGGAATACTACCCAGAGACAAAAAAGAATGAACTACAGATGAAACAACAGGAAACAGGAGGAATCTCAGAAACAATGAGTTCAGAACACAGTTCTGAAGGTGGAGGAGGTGACCAGACAGAGGCATGTGGAAACTAGCTGAGGGGTGGACAGGCTCTACTCTTGTTTTAGGGGGTGACCGTCTAAGTTTATTACACTGAACTCTTACGATCCACGCAAATCTCTAAGTAAGTAAATAAGCAAAAGCTCTAGAGGCATTTATATAAAATGTGGTGTTGTGGGTTAAGCACTAGACTGCAAGGTCAGCGGTTCAAGCTCATCAGCTGCTCCTCACAAACCCTATACAAGATCACTATGAGTTAGAACTGACTCAATAGCACTTCACAACACCAGTGTAGGACTGAGATACAATCCACTCACACTGATCTGCAACCACACCCTCAAGATGAACCACACGTGGTTCAGTGGCTCTCCCTCTCTTGGCTATAAATGGCCACATGTAAGTCTTTGCCATCAGTGGCCTGAACAAAACTATTGTCCAAATCTATCTTATTTATTAATCCATTCCAAGTACTAGGAATTAAAACTGTTTAATTCGAAAGGCAGTAAAGGAAAAAGGAAACTCCCTATGAGCCGGCTGTGTCGGCTTCCACAGGGAAATTTTTTAAGGCTTTGATAGCTCTGCCCTTTGGAAGGAACACGTGTTTTAAGTCTAAAATCCAGAGAACATTGTCAGTGTTCTTCAGTTCAAATTGTCCCTCACTCAAAAGCGCTTCCCATTTGTATTCAGAGAACTTAAATTCTAAACTGCTGAAAGCTATCTGCAGAGACCATGGTGACACCCCCAATGGTAACAACTGTTTTGTTTCCCCGGGTCCCAACCCACCACCATCAAGTTCAGTTCCAAGACTCAGCACTCTACAGGACAGAGGAGGGCTACTCCGTGGCATTTGTAAGTCGGTAAATCTTCACAGAACAGACTGCTTCATTTCGCTCAGAACTGCTCTGACCCTGTGGCAAGCAGCCCACCAGACCAGCGTGGGTCTTTCCGCGGTCACAGGCAATGCTTTAAAACCAAGTCAAACCACACACACCTACTTCTGACTGCCAATAATTCCCAACACTCCAAACTACTTCCCTTTCAAATGATATCACTAAGATGGCTTACAAAGAAAAGGGGAAAACAAAGCAAAGGCCACAAATATTTGATCTCCTTTTTATAAAAATAATGGGCTAATTCGGTCCAATTATTTCAGTTACAGTAAATCAATACAACACACCACTTGTGCTCACGGACTAATCTGGCAGCACCTTATTATCTGTGGAAAACTACAGCAATCAATCAATCAATCAATGGCAACTCAGCTGAGGAGGCTTCAGGCTTCACCGAGAGGCAATGACCTCTAAATTTGAGATGTAAGATCACTCCAAGAAGCTCTTACTACTTTCACAAAACATTCTTATAATGCCAGAATTTATGTGTCCAACTTACAAGCTTATATAAACTGGACTCTTTGTAGGAACTGTCCCAATGTCCCAAAAACTACAGAATTCTTTTCTTTCCTTCATAACAGGATCAAATCAAGGCCACAATCTGGAGACTGAGCACAAACTTCTCATCTTTTTTGCCTTTTGGGTTTTTCCCCCACAGGCTTATCTACACAGGGAGGAGCCCTGGAACCAAGGACCAGCCTGAGCCCAGGGAACCTGGTCAGAGATGAGGACCCAGGCTGACCTCCCAGCTGTCAAGATAGTCAAAAACAAGACTGGAGACACCTCCAGCCATGGAACTGCCAAAGTCAGTAGGCTCCTCCTGACCTTCCTAGCATCAACTGTCTCTCAAGTTGTATGATTATTCTAAGAGATTCCTGACAGTCACCAGCTCCATCCCCTTCCTGTGTCCCAGACAGCGCTGCCCTCGCTGCCTCCCTGCCCTTTAGCAGTGGTTCTCACACAGCCTCAGAGCAACTCCTGCTAACCTGGGACCAGCGCTTGATTCACAGAAACAGCAAACTGATACTGCAACCGTCTCACCTTTATCAGAACCTATAAAGCAAGCTGTCGGCCCTTTCAGATGTTTGTTAACATCACCAGGACTTTAACCAAAGTCACTCTTACAACTGGCTAGAAGCAGCTTTGAGAAGCAATCCCTTACAAGAGAAAATCCAAACTTCCACACCTGCCATGTGGGCCTTCAGGACCCCCTCCCTACCCCTTCCCAGCTGGCCTGAAGGTTCTTTCCACAGAAAACCACTGACTGTCCTCTAAGACCCTCCACCTCCTTCAAACTAGAGCCCAAGCCCTCAGGAAAGTCTTCTCTCATCAACTCGATGGATCCCCTTTTCCCCAGGTGGGGCTGCCACTCTCTGGTTCTGACAGCTTACTGCTAATTAGACAGCATCTCCTGGTTCCTCTCCAGATCCCAAGAACCAAGGATAGTGATCGAGCCAAAAAAGCTATTCAAGAAACATGCTAAATGGCTCAAATCCTGGAGCTAAACAAACAAACAAACAAACAAACAATCAGTCCTAGACTTTATAGCCATGACACAAACCATAGTGGCATGTATTAAATTCCAAAGAGCACAAATTAAAGAGCCACAGAACTTCAAAAGATGGGTCACCAAAGACTATGTTTATAACAATTAAAATTACGCAGCTACCTGAAGAGACTCAGCCTCTAATTTTAATAATTATGTAAATGAAAGTGTCAGCAAAATTAACTTTAACAAGAAATTAAAATGAAATAAAACTGAGCTTTTTCCCAGTTGTGTTTCTTTTTTTAATATGATGTTGCTGCTGCTGATTTTGTTTTGTATTATTTAGGCTTTCTGCTTTGGGGTTACTGCTTTGAGGGGATGTGTGTGTCTGTGTGGTGTGTTTTATGTGTGGTGTGTGTTTGTGTTATATGTGTGGTGTATGTATGGTATGTGTGTGATGTGTGTGGTGTGTGATCTGTGTGCAGCATGTGTGTATGATGTGTGTCTGTGGTTTGTGTGGTGTGTGTCTGTGTGTGGAGTGTCTGGTTTGGGTGTGTAGTGTGGGTAGTGGGTATAGTGTGTGTGTGGTGTGTGATGTGTCTTGAGGTATGTATATAGCGTGTGTGGTGTATGTCTGGTGTGTGCAGTGTGTGATGTATGTGCAGTGTATGTCTGTGGTGTGTTGCCATGTGTGATGTGTGTGCAGCGTGTGTGTATGTGTGTCTGTGGTTTGTGCAGTGTGTGATGTGGATGTCGTGTGGGTGTGTAGTGTGTGTGCAGTATGTGGTGCATGTGCCTGTTTGGGGTGGGGGGGTATTTCTTGATCCTTACCCCTGTAGCTGGTGAGAGAGAATGGGGCAGGTGAGAGAAAGTGAATTAGCATTCACTAGACGCGAAGCTTTAACTAGAGTCCTGGTGTGGCACTATAGCATAAGCACTGGACTGGTAAGAGCTAGGTCAGTGGTTCAAACCCACCAGCTGCTCCTTGGAAACCCTATAAAGGGTTGCTATAAGTCAAAACCAACTCATTGGCAATAACAACAAGCTTTACCTTCCCTGTTTTAGTCTCAAACCTATTTTATGAGGGAGTCCTGGTGTGGCGCTGTGGGTTAATGCACCAGACTGCAAAGCCATTTGAACTGCAAGGTTGGTGGTACGAGCTCACCAGCTGCTCCTCGGAAACCCTATACAGGGTCGTTATGGGTCAGAACCAAGTCGATGGCACTTAACAACTATCACCTCATGGTTCAAGTGCTAGGGGGTCCAAAAAGCAGGTGGAATATGGAATTAAAGGATAATGAAATTTTTCCATGCACTTTTTGTAACACCCTTGTAAAGAAAATAAAAAATGAGAGAAAATAAGCAAATTGTTTCAGAATGTGCAGCTCGTAAGTAGCTGAATTGGCAACATGGGGACTACTTCCTGCGGCTCAGCCAAACTTAGTTGGTTTTTGCAGGAAACCTCCAAATACCAGTATCAAACTTGAAAGTTCTTATAAACTCTAAGTGCCAGGAAAAGCAGGAATGGCCAGACAGGCACCCTAACTGTGACTTGAAGCCAGCTCTGACTGACTCTGGTCTGGGCTTCCAACACTATGTCCTAGCCAACTGGCTGTGTGACCCGGAAGGGCAGCCAGAGAGGAGACGTACCAGCAGTTTGGCTGCTTTATGTTTGACAAAGTTAGCGATCTTCTTCCTGGGCCCCAGAGGTATCTCCATCTCCTTCAAGTCATCAATTGTGCACATAAGCTGGGAAAGGAAACAAAAAGCTATATTAATTAATCAACAGTGTGACAGATCAAATGAACTGGAATAAGAAAATAATTTTAAAAAGCCAATCCTCTAGAACAATCCACGATCTAGTCCTTTAACAGGGCGTTTATCTGTTTCTTACATCATGCCTTAGCTTCGGCTGTGGGGTCTTGTGTCTTCATATCTAAAGCACTCCAGCTTTTCACTGTGAACACAAGACACACTGTACCAAACTCAAAAGCTGTAAATGAGCATGCCACGAAGCCTCTCTCCTCCACTCCTATCCCAACCACCCAGATCCCCTGTCAGTAGCAGCTGCTGACACTGTGGTCTCCTTCCAGAGCGCTTCATATAACAAGCACGTGAGCACCTCTGTCTTTGGACATGTGTGTTGGCGTGCAGCCTACTAACCGCTCAGTACTGAGCTTTCCCTCTTCATGCAGTGCACTTTAGAAATCTCTCCTCCACCACCTCACTCGTCCAGGCCACGACAAGGGTGGACGCACCAACCCAGTCAGATGGCACCCTCTGCTGGACATGAAAGGAACGTCCACAGTTTTGCTTTTACATGTTGTAATATAGCAGCTCGGGTTCTTGTATGCATTCCCATGTAAGTGTCTAAGGGACATATTCCAGCCAGTGGAACTTGTGGGTCTAGAAGTATGTCCTGTCCACATTTCAAAAGATCCTGACAAACTGTCGGTCATCCATGTTGTACCAATTTACATCCCACCAACAGTATCCAACAGTGCTAGCTTTGGCTCAGCCTAGTTCACAGAGTGTAAGAATTTCTTATGTTTGCCAAACTGATACATTTTTTAAAATATTTTCTTCATTGAGCTTTTAATTAGTATGAGTTTTTACATGTGATGAAGTAATTTGTTATTTTCTTCTCTATGACCCTTCTATTCATATTTTTTGGCTTAGTTTCCTACAGAGTGGATGACCTTTCGTAACTGATTTGTTGTTAAGTGTTGTTAAGTCAGTTCCAACCCATAGCAACTCTGTATAGGGCTTCCAGGGAGCAGCTGGTGAACCTGAACCGCCCACCTTGCAGTCCAGAAGCTTTGAATAATAAGGAAGTAAGTCCTGTGTCTGTTATGTGTGTTCTCAGATTTTTTTCCTGTCACTGTCCTTTTGATGGTGTTATGGAGTCCTGGTGTGGCACTGCTGAGTAGGCAGTGGACTGCTAACCATAAGGTCAGCAGTTCAAACCCAGCAATCATTCCTTGGAAACTACACACAGGGTCACTGTGAGTTGGAACCATCTAGACAACACTTAACAACATGGTATCTGAAGGCTTTCTCTTTTAGTTCTTCTGGGTTTTCTGTCATTCTGAGAAATGTAGTTCCCAGACTACTAAAAAAAAACAATAATCCTGTGGTTTTCGACCTGTATTTAAATCTTTGACTTAATCTGGGACATAGTCAGATGTAAGAGTATCTAAATCTTCCTTAATTTTTAATCATATACACAGGAAAAACACAAATTAACCAAACTCGTCAATACCAGAGACTCCATATCAATCTTTTCCTTTTCAAAAGTGCTGACATATTCAGAGAGGCTGAGAGCTTCCAGAGTTCCCTGTAAAGTTAGGACATCTTCATTTTCAACATCAAGGTCACAAGACTCATCCAAAGTCAGCTTTGGATCTTCGATCATCTGAAAACACACACACACACACACACAAAAAAAAAAAAAAAAAAAAAACATTACAAAACTCACTCAAAATGTCTATAAAAATTTGTAAGCAATATTGCTGTAGACACAGACCACCATTTCCAGCGCTGTGCCGTCCGATATCTGTATTCTGCAAAGTATTCCAATCACTCATACTCCCGATTTATTACAGTAATTTACTCTTTTCTTTTTAAATCATAAACTTTCTCTCACATTGAAATTTACTATATGTAAAGACGACGAGGTAAGTGAGAAACTCAAACAACTAGTTACATGATTCCTCTACACTCTTAAGCCTTTAAATATTTTAACACACGAAACCATTTCAGGAAACAGTCCAGATCTGGAAACCTGTTCAGTGTCCAATACAAATCTAAATGTTAGTTAGGCCACACGTAGACATACCTGCTTTTCCGGAAAATGTGTCTGCTTCACTACTCCGTTAGCAACAGCAAGAGACCTCGGAGACTTGGACAAATTCAAATCTTTCTGATTTGACAGTATGTCAAACAATATTAAAGAACCTAAGAAAAAGAAGCAATTTGCTGAAGGTGTACTACTGGGTGCTTTGAGAACACTGATAAATGCTAGCACTAGATAAAATAACTTCCTATAAAAGTTAGGGGGGTCATCACAATTTGATCATCAGCACTACAGAATCAAACCAAGATTCAACAATCACAAGGCAGAACAAACTGAAAAAGAAAAGCAAACCTACAAGGTAGGAGAAGTGAATAGGAAAGGCAGAATTTGAACCCATTGACCATTTACGAGACTTGCCATCTGTAACTCTAAACCTCACCCCAACAATGTCACCTGAACTGAAAGCAGAGTTGATTCAAATAAAACGATGTTTAAAACGTGCATGTTTGACCACTTTACCTAAACTATGACCAGCCACGGAGACCCCGCCTTTGAAGTCTGGGTTCCGACTCATGAAGAGCGCATGCAGCCGGTTTATCTCCATTCCTACTTTCTCCACAATCCTCTGACAGTAGGTGGGGCTATTGTAAAACAAAATATCTAGCAAAGTTTCATTGGTAAAGTGCCGGAACCGACCAACACTTGGTAAGGTGATTTTCTTAACGTTCCTGTTTAAAAAGAAAAAAAAGTATTTTCAGTGAGTTGTTGTTGTTGTCTTTAAATCTGTGGATTTATAAATGCTTCCTAGATTTCCATTCCCTACAACACCGTTAAGTGGGAAAAGTACCACATTCTAATAATTAATTGATTCTACAGAAAAAATTATTCTGAATAAACCAAGATAAAGCAAAAACATTAACCGGCATTATAACTGTACTACGAACTTGAGATACTCTGAAGAGTTCTATTACATAAAATAAGGCATGTGTCAGTATTTTATTTTAAAAAGAAAAGTGTACTCATCCATTTTCCTACCAATTGGAAATCACAACACCTGACAAAAATTGTGGGTAGGAAGGACAATAAGAGAATAAAGCAAGTTAACTTGACGCAACACACAACAACAACATTACAGGGAGTCCGGTGTGGCATTGTAGGATAAGCACTGGACCACAAGGTCAGTTTGAACACAAAGTCAGTGGTTCAAACTCACCAGCTGCTCCTCGGAAACCCTATACAGGGTCGCTACAAGTTGGAACTGACTGAACAGCATTTAACAACGACAACATCACTACATAAACATAAACAGTAAGAAAGGCACTGCATGATCTGAAAGCTTCTCCCGATGTGAGAATGAGCAGACAAGTTCATCCACATCCACACAGGCGGAAAAGGTCTCGTGGCGATGCCTCACAGGAAGCAGGTGCTGTCTGCAGGAGCGGTTCCATGAAAGCACGTGCCCAAAGCATTATGAAATCCCCCCAAATCCAGACATGTGTCCCAGCAAAAATACTTCCACCTAAACCCGTGGAAGCATTCAATTAATGAGCATGCGGCATTTTGAGTTGTCCTAGTGCCGAACAAGTACTGCTGGTCTTTAGCGGGCACACACTAAGGATACTATGTGACCAAGCACACATACTACAGTCCTGCCAAGACCATCTCCACTGAGAAACAATCATCTGATACCTCTCACAGCAGGGGATGTTTGGCAACAGCTAGAAAGACCGCTGGTTGTCACTCAGTGGAGAAGAGGTGGCTTGTGGGTAGAGGATAGGCCAGAGATAGAGTAACATCCTACAATAATGTCCAGGGCCTCTCTGTGTCTAAAGCACTATCAATCAGAATAGAATTTTTTTTTTCAAAGATTTGATTGTGAACTGAGAAGGCTTACAGAGCAGGAGCATCAGTTTTACATCCAACACATGACACACTTAGTTCCATCTCAGTCAGTGCAATCGTCTTCATGTAACAAGAGAGATCCTGCGTCATCCCTGTGGTTCCTCCCTCCATTCCACTCTTATAGAACAGTCTTTAAAACTAGCTGAAGTAGCTTAGGTTTTCTTTACAATAAGAACAGATTTTTAGAAACACGTATGAGGAGGCTTCAAAAAGCTCGTGGAAAATGGAATTAAAAGATAATGGAATTTTCCCATGAACTTTTTGAAGCCCCTGACATACTTAACAGGAGCCCTGGTAGTACTGTGGGCTAAGCATTGGACTGCTAACTACAAAGTTGGTGGTTCAAACCCACCAACTGCTCGGAGAAGAAAGATCAGGCAGTCTGCTCTGTAAAGATTTACAGTGTAGGAAACCCTAGGGAACTGTTCTGAGACTTGGTGTGGCACTGTAGAATAAGCACCAGAATGGTAACCATAAGGTTGGCAGTTCAAACCCACCAGCCGCTCCTGGAATGCCTACACAGGGTCACTATGAGTAGGAACCGACTTGCATGACACACAATGATGACCACAAGAGGGAGCTGTTCTACTCTGTCCCATACAATGCTGCTGAGTCGGAATCAACTAGATAGCAGTAGATTTTTGGGTTCAAAAGGAGACTTATCAACTTCAAAAATAGCATAAAAACTTAATTGCCAATATTTAGTCACGGGTCAGAGCAAGTATTTAATTAATTAAAATAAATGTAAATCAAAATAAACCACTTCAAAATTATGACTCTAAATTCGACTAATTTGAAAATAAATGATCAAAATCCACAAACCTGTCGACACCTGTGGCAGCCCCACCCAAGGAACTATGCCAGTGAACCGGAAGGAATTCCACTCTGCTTATTTTCTGATCATCTAAAGATTTCTTAAAATGTGTCTGCAGCAATTTGAGAGAAACCACCCTAAAATCATCAACTTAAAAAAGAAAAAAAAAAAAAATCAGGTAAGGGAAATCAAATAGATCAAATCACCTAGTTCTACAACCAAAAAGCAGAATCAAGTAAGAACAAATGATTAACCTGTCTTTATTTTTCAAGCTAGTGATCAATGACTTCAAAATAAATAAATATTGTCCAAAAAGGTAACGAAGCTTTAGGAAGCTCTTTTTAACTTTTCATTATTGTAGAGAAATGCACACTGCTGTTGTAAGCACCACAACTGGGATATGGTACAGTTCAGGGGGTGGGGGGGGCCACGCTGGAGTCAAATGGCCTGCGTCCTGCTCTGGGATACCCTGCCTGGGATGCTGAAGAGGTGACAGCTTCCCTCTGGGTACACCCCACTAACATGGGGGTGACAGTGGTGACAGTAAGAACAACATCTACAACTGAAGGAAGGGCTACTGGGAGGCGTCATCAAAGAATGTACGCACGGTACTTGGCACCGATAATCACTCACTAACAGGAACCACCATTCTTACATAAGGCAGGCAGAGGCAGCGTCCCATGCGGCGTCACACAGCTAAAACTGTCATCCCCACAGGTGCTCAGGAAGGACGGGCTGCCTGTCAGAGAGGCTAGGCCTCATGACTTCCACGAGCCCTTCTAAATTCTTCAGATCTAGGGGGTTTTGAGTTAGCTGTGCCTTAAGAGCCTAGAAGCACAACTTAATTTTTTCCACTGACCATTTAAATCTAAATCTTTTACAACTGAGCCTGCATGTCTGCACGCAGCCTCTTGTATTTGCTCTCCGACCATTCCATGAACTCAGGCAGGACAAAGACCTCTTACCACATTCCGTAATGCTCCTGAATCGCAAGTCACATACGGGTCCGATGCCATGCACCACGAACACTAAATGGTCCACCTGAGGCAGCTCCCCTGCATACACAAAACCGTCACTGAGGGATGTTGGGAATCTGTGTGGACGTTCTTCACTTTGCAATATTCTAACCAGCCCATTTGTCATCCACACTCTCACCAAAGAAGTTCATGGCCTTTCCTGACTAATAAAATTAGCTTCCACCAAACTAGAAGAATAAAACTCAAGTGCATCTAGGAAGTAACAGTGAAGTGGACTCTCCTCCCAGAGCGATCAGCAGAGGGAGACCAGAAGTTCTCACCAGTGGAGGTTCCAGAACCTTGTGACAGCTTCAGAGCTGCCTGGGACACTACGCCCCACATGGAGAAGCAACTTACCAATAAGAAACTTAAAAATTCTTTTCTACAAAGCCTTCCCCTTGCTTTTGTAAGATTCATACAGACTGAGCAAACATCACCAAATTAAATATATTATGTCTACTTTTTCTTCTCTGGTTACTTCATTCCAATTTCATAATATGAGCATCTACTCGTATTTATTTGGTAGTATTATAAGGCAATGAAACAAACCTGAATATACGTAATTGTCAAAATGTAATCTGTAATTTAAATGACACAAAAGCAAAACCAGAGCACAATTCCTAGCGTAGGGTTGACAAGCTATGGCTGGTGAGTCAAATCCAGCCCAGGGACCTTCTGGAGCACTGCTCTGCCCGTTTGTTTATGCACTGTTTACAACTACACTACACACCACAGTGTACGGTTTACATACCACAATGGAGAAGTGGAGAGCCGAGAGTCCGTGCAGCCCCCTTTACTGCACTACAGTAAGAAGTTCTGGTGACTCTGTGGGTTGGGCTGCTAACAGCAAGATCGGCAGTTCAAACCCACCAGCCACTCAACAAGACAGCGAGGAGGCTGACTGCTCCCATAAAGATTTACAATCTCAAACATCCTATATAGGGTCACTATGAGTCAGAACTGACTCAATGGACGTGGATTTGGCACTGGGGGAGGGGACAATAAACAAAGAGTGCTAGCTAAACTAGTTGAAGCGTAAGAACCAGATCCAAAAATAGTTCCCTAAATCCAATTTTAACCATACATGCTTTAGAATCTACATGCTTTGTGTCTCTTCAACCAAATTCTAAATTAAATCAGCAGATATGACACTAACATAATTGAAAAGAAAATATACAAAACTATTTGATTTCTGACCAGCATGGCAAGTAACTCAAACAGCTGTGTTTCTTTGCATCCTCCTTAAGAACCAGCGCTAAAATATCACAACAGGAAAATGCACCTTGGTCCTAAACAAACAATACACACCGTCAGGAATGTCGTCAAGGCCATCGTCAACCCCACGTCTGACAACCCTGGGCCTTGTCTGTCCATCCTGGGTAGTCCCCCATTCATCTGGGACTGCGGAAGGCTGGAACTGAACAATGACCTTCAGGATACAACAGGAGAATTAAGACAACTCGTCATTACCAAACTCTTTTTCAATGCAGGATAAGTTGTTTACTGCAGTACATCATCACCTACTTGATAGCAGGGACAGTTTATAAATCAAGTGATTCATGTTCTCGCAAAACCAATTTGGTAAGAGTTTATTAACCACTGTTGCTGCTGTTGTCAAGTCTAAGAATCTTCTGGAGTTTATTAACCATTTATTAACCACTGTTGTTACTGCTGTTGTTAAGTGCCATCAGTCAGTTCCAACTCATAACGAGCCCGCATGGGGTTTCCAAGGCTGTAAATATTTATGAGAACAGAAAGCCTCATCTTTCTCTCGAGGAGTGGCTGGTAAGCTTGAACAATTGACCTTGTGGTTTGCAGTCCAATGCTTCCCCTACAGAGCCACCACACTCCCCTTGTTGTTGTTGTTGTTGTTAAGTGCCATCGAGTCGGTTCCGATCCATAGCGACCCTGGACAGGGTTTCCGAGGAACGGCTGGTGAGCTTGAACTGCCAACCTTGCAGTTCAAACAGCTTTATTGACCATTATAACCAAGCAAATCAATACACGTATTTCTAATGCTTATGTTAGAATATTTCAGTTAAAATAATGTGACTGAAACAGAAATAGTGAATCTTGATTTTAAAATCTAACATACAATGTAGGTTGACACACAAGAAACTAAAGAAAAGAAGCTGCAATGGTGGAGTTTCTGTCTTACAAAAACATGTAATACACAATTCTTTAAATACTAAGATTAATAATGAACTCAGAAGTTCAAATCCAGTGACAAAAAACGGATTTACTTTCTGGAAAGAAACCCATCTTATTAAATCAATTCTATTAAATTCAACACTATGCCAGGCAGACAGTCTTCTCTAAATATATATGTGTGTGTGTGTATACGTATATAATACACACAAACATACACGTTTGTTGTCGTTAAGTGCCATAAAGTCGGTTATGACCCATAGCAACCCTGTATAGGGTTTCCAAGAAGCGGCTGGTGAGCTTGAACCACCAACCCTGCAGTTCAAACTGACCACGCAGTCCAACACGTTAACCCGCAGTGCCACACCAGGACTCCACATATAAGCATACACTCACATGTACATGTGAACTTCCATGTATGTGAATGCATGCATGTTGTACACAATTTTGTAGTTGCACAAAAAAAACAGAAAGATAAGAGTGCTTATCATCCAGAGAAATGGGGTGGAGGATGGGAGCAGGAGGTCTGTTTCATTACTACTTTTCTATACTGTGTAGTGCTATAGGATAAGCACTGAACAGCTAACCACAAGGTCAGCAATTCAAACTCACCAGCCCAGCCACTCCTCAGAAACCCTAGAGTCGCTGTGAGTCAGAACCCACTCGATAACATGTAATAACACCATATGTACATGCTATCGAGTGGGTTCTGTTTAAATTTTACTTAACTTTTTATGTTAGTACGATTATAGGGGTCGATAAATCGGGGTTATTCGTGTTTTCTTGTTATACTTTTCTACAAAACAAAAATCTCCACTACGTTCTGAAAACTACTGTGTGCCAAGTACTAGGAGACATTCCACATAAATGACCTCACTTCATCCAAAATTTGACCTTGGGAGATAAAAACAGTACTGCACGTGAGGCACCCAAGGACCATAAACAAAAGAGCCAGAGTATCATTCATGTATGTTTTTTGAAGAGAAAGGAGAGCTCACAGAGACAAAACAAATACAAGAGGAAGGATGGCTTATTTCTTTAAAAGTTGACTTGAGCCCTCACTGAGGGCTTTGTTGCTGTTGTTAAGTGTGTGGATGCTGTACGGGGTTTCTGAGAAGCAGCTGGTAGGTCTGACCTTGTGGTTAGCTGTCAGCACCACCAGGAGTCCTCATCCAGGGCAGGGCTGGGCAAATTGTGGCCCCTAGTTCACACCCAGCCCTCTGCCTGTTTTTGTAACGTTTCCTTGGAAACCAGTTACACTCATCTGCTTGCATAACGCCTGTCAGTCAACACGTCCTGAAGCTGCCACAGAGATCAGATGGCCTGCCCGGCCCTACAGCTCTCCCCTGACCCTTTACAGAGAAGCTTGCTGATCCCTGATCAAACTTCCCAGCAGCTTCTCTGATGTGTGCTATGCCACATCTAACGCGGCCACACACAGAAACTTTGTGAGAAAGAACGGAAGTTGTATTTTTGTTTTCAGGATCAAAGTGTACAACAACAAGCTATTTTACAGGCAAAGCTCTTACTAATAGATCCTCAGTGCAGAAATGACTAAAAACCAACACCTTCCCAGCACACCCAGCAAAACAATTGTAAAATTTAACATCTTAAGCTGTTACTACCTTGGGATTGTGCATAACAATCGTCTCACCGCTGGGGAACTCCAATCTGCGGTGCCACTGGTTCATGGTGACAGCTTTTTTATATTCAGCCTACAAAAGAGAAATGACATACAGCCCCAGCCGTCACGGTTACCTCACACCAAGAAACACATGGGGAAAAATAATGACAACAATAGTGATGAAAATTGCAGTAAGAGCTCTGTCAGCGAACACATGAACACTCAGTGAAGAGCATTCATTTAGTACATCCATTCATTCCCCACCCCTCTTCACACTGCCATTCATTATATCCTGTTAGCTAGAATGGAGTGGATGTAATAAGACACCGTTTTTCACTCAGTTCTACCAAACTCAGCCATCCTCCCAATTCTTGGGTACTGCACCTCCCAAGCAGGCTCCCTCTACGTGCCTAGAAATTAAAAGGCTGCTGCCTCTAACATTTGGCATTTCCAAGAAAACCAACGTTATGCCTTCTTTTCACTTTGATCTTCTGAACCTGGTTCTGAGTGAGTGTATTCTCTCTTGAAATCTACTTGACTTCCTTGTCATTTGGTCCTCGGTAACTACAGTTTCCCCTCCTTTTGCTCTGTAGTTGTCTTCGTTGTAGATTGAGATCTCTGATTCTTTATCTTTAGTCTTACAGTTTGTTTCACTCTGGATACTTCTATGTCGTCGTTGTTGTTAAGTGCCGTCGAGTCGGTTCCGACCCATAGCGACCCTGTACAGGGTTTCCGAGGGTGTAAATCTTTACGGGAGTAGAAAGCCTCCTCTTTCTCCCGCGGAGCGGCTGGTAGTTTCGAACCGCTGACCTTAAGGTTCGCAGCCCGATTCGTATCCACTACGCTACCAGAGCTCCTACATCTGGATTGAATTCTGGGTGGCGCTTCCATGTAGGTTTAACCTACGGTGGTTGTCTGGTGTTGCTGGATTCTCAGTCCACATATTTTTTTTCAGTTGGCTTGGTTTTTACAAATTCCTTTAGTTTCTCTTTATCTGGAAATGTTCTAATTTTACTTATTTATATTTGAGAGAGTTTTGTTGGGTATATGATTCTTAGCTGACAGTTGCTTTCAAACTTCAAATGCTGAAGCCGCTACTTTCAATAGCCTCTCTTTCAGTTTACTCAATCCCAGCTAACCTCGGCTTTATTTTAGACCAACACTCATGTTTCAGTATTGACTTGGTTACAGGATAATATTTCACAGTCACTGCTATACAGAGTTTAATACAAGTTTTTCCAGAACAGGCACAATTGGTAATGTCAAAAAAATTGCATTTATAATTTTTTAACTTTCGTTATTATAATTGTTGAAAAAATATATCCGTATGTAGGCAGATAAAGAAGAAGTCTAAAACTATATAAAAATACAGTTTGTTCTGAAAGACTGAATATTTTATTTCTAAGAATTATACTATTATATTCTCAAAGGGAAAACAAGTAGTCACTGACGATACTTGGAACTGTTAGCTCCTAAACAGAACGCAAGGCCTAGTCCTTGCTTGAAGTTCTTCAAAAGGTGGACTAGAGCTAATTAATGCTTTACAGATACCTTTTAATGTTAGTGTTTGTGCTGTTTCATGAGAAGTGTTGGCTACACAAGTTTCCATGACTACTAAATTAAAATTCTACATCTCATTTCTCATGTATGCAGTTTAATTCATTTACTTCAAACATTTCATACTCAACAGTGAAAGCCGTTAAGAGATGGAATTTGACAGGTGGCCTTGTCTTTCCAGCTCTCAGACGTCTCCTCACTTTTCTGTTACTCTTTTCAGTGGAAAATACTTGAGTTTTCCTTCTCTGATCGGTTTCCACCTTATACAGGTTGTGGCTTTCCCAGGCTTTACTGTATAACTATCACAGGAAGTTGGAGCAGCTATATAAGGCCACATTAACCAGCAGTCTAAGATGGCTAATAAATCTCGTGACATTTGTGCCTGTCCTGCTTCACATCTATTCTCACCAATCAGAGGCTACCGTCAGGCCTTCTCCTGGATAGTACTCTGAGTAATGGTCATATGCTTGGCATCTGTTGTCAACTAAAGAGGCCAGTAGCTGAGGTTCTTTTGAAGGTTTGCTGCAAGTACCTTATTACATGTGTGAAGCACTCCTACTAAATACAATCTATCTTTAAACACTGAGGCCAGGCCTCAAGGCCACAAGTGAGCTGGGTCCCTCAAGAAAGACAAGCACCACTTCAGAGGCCATCTGCTGTGGGAAGAAGAGCAAGAATAAAGTCAGCTCCACAGTGAGAGATGAGACCTGAGGCTCCAGTGTTCACGGGGCGGAGGGTTTTTAAAACATGAATGAAGTGCACATACCTCCAGATTTTCGCTGAACTCCTCAGTGTAGGGAACAAACCTGCTATCTGCATCCCCCTTGTAGAACCACGTGCAACGCCGTACTTCAGCTGGCTCCTCTTCCCAGTACACAGGCTTCCTGACTCGGTCACAGAGGTGCACATCATATCGGCCTCCATCCGTCCCCAGGACCACACTCTCGGGCTCTGGTTGGACTAGAGCACAAAGTCCCTACCTTAGCCCCACCGTGACCAGGCATGTTCAAACCATACACAATGGACACGGTGCCAATCCTGCAGACAAAGGACTACGCCCACTGTGGGTTTTGAAAAACAAAATTCCAAATGACTCTTCTTGAGTGGCACAGAAATAAACCAGGGAAAAATATTTAAAACATGGTTCTAAAATAATTCAGATAACTGGCAGTTTTGCTGGGGTTTTTTTAACTCAAAGCAGTAGTATCTACTTGTAACAATGCTCCATGAAGTACGTCTCTAAGGGATACTGCTATTGCAGATAACTGCTATTGAGTCATAGTGAGCTTGTATAGGGTTTCTGAGTGGCTAGTGGGTTTGAACTTAAGACCTTGCAATTACCAGTCTAGTGCTTATCTTGCAGCACCACACCAGCACTCCAGCAGGAGAAAGTCCAGTAATGACTGGGATAAACAAAGAGTCCTACTGATGGACTGCAGGGCTGCTCAGAGCTGTAACGTGCATTGTGAACCCTCAGTCTCCAAGCAGTGGAGGCAGTAAAGCAGCATTTCCAAAGCCCATCTGACCCTGGAACAATTTTTCTATACAGGCTTTCCCATAATAAGTTCCATAGAAAACATTCTTTGAAATGTCCCGCAAATACATATAAGTAAAAGAAAGAGAGAAAGTGAAACCTGTGATAAATGAGCTCCTCTATTTCTAGATCTAAATACATTTATACAAAGAAGTAAATGACTAGACTAAACCACTTCTTCAAATTGCCTGCTCAGGTAAATCTGGGCTTACGTACTCCCACCAGCTTAAGGTACAGTGTATGCTGGGCTCTGCAGGCTTAAAGAATTGGGCAGTCACAAAAACTTGGCCATGGATAGACTGTGCTCATCTCTTCTCCTCAGAAATTAGATACCAGACGAGGCACCACCAGTACCTACCTGAATTATATATTTCTTCAAGATTCCGAGAGTCGTACAAACTGAAAGGCGTCCACAGTTGTTTGGATTCTACCTCCTTGCAGTAAAACCAGTGGGGCTGAACCGGCTCGTACTGGTTTTGAAGCAGAAAAGGTGATGGGGGTGGTGCCTGCACCAGGGGGCCAACGGGTCGAGCCAGTGCCTGCTGCTGGGAGGGTGAGGACAAGGTGGTCTGCACTGAAGGAGGAACCTGAACGGGACAAAGTGAAGACTGTCGTACTGGGTGCCTGCTTCTGACCCACACTGACAAAAGCAGAAACAGCCCAAATTTACTTCTGCACTTAATAACTAGGCCCCAAAACAATGTGTGTTTTTAAACAAGTAAAAGAAAATCCAAAAACCGCTGCAAAGGGAACGTGGCCCTCCTGGTGCTGAGAGCAGTGTCAAGCAAACCCCTTGATGGGCATCAACCTAGCAATACATTGTGATTTAGTTCACCTTCGAAATGTGCACATACCTGGACCCCATCACTTCACCTCTGAGACTTTATCCTAAAGATAAAATTATTAATGAGCAAAAATGTATCCACAAAGATGGCCATCTAAGGATTAACTATACTAGAAAAATACTGGGCTGGGTTATTAATTCTTCCGGTGAATCTTTTCCCTGCTTTGCCTCCCTTGATGTCTCTTTTGACTTCATTTGAATAATTAGTTGAGAAAAAAGCATAGGATAACTTCATAAAATTTACTCAATGTAAATGCTATCCCATCACCCCCGAGAGAGAGTCTGGCTGTCTAGACCCAAACCCCTACATGGAAGAAGTAAGAGAAAGGGCTTAAGTAATCAATTTAGTCCCTGTCATTGAAGTGTTTTGATTAAATAGTGTCATTACAGGATGAGAAGCTAGCAGCCTGTGAAACAGAAATTGTTTCTACTCTCACATGTCCCTGGATGACATTTATTATTAGCATCTTAGACTAAAATCTGGAACTATTAGCATGTAAGAACTTATTCTTTAAGATCAATTCCAGCTTCAATAAATCAATTCATCTCACTATTGTCCAATGGATTCTAACACATAACAACCTCGCAGGACAAAACAGAACCGCCCCGAAGGCTCCCCAAGTCTATGATCTGTATGGAAGCAGACTACCACGCCATTCTCATGAAGAACAACTGGTGGAGCTTAACCAGTGCACCACCAGGGATCCTTTGACTTCAGTAGATCAGTGCTATGAATGAAGATGAAGCCTTATCTCCGTAATTCTAACAAATGTATCACACCAATGCAAATATCACCAATGGAGGAAAGTAGGGGGCTGCGGATGGCTCAGTACAGTATGGGAAGTCACTGTACTATAGCTAAATTTTTCTGTAACCCTAAGACAGCTCTGAACATTATACTCTATTAACTTAAAAACAAAACAAAACCTGAACCATCCAAAGAGCGACCTTGAAGGAAACATTTACTTCAAAGCCTGCCGCTTGCACAGCGCATCCTCTGAAACGAAGGCCACCATCTTTATTATCAAATGCAAATTTTTCAAAACACAGGCTCAGGTGAGAGGGAAAAGAGAGTGGAATGAAGAGTGAGCGATAGGGACATAAAAACCTGTCTCCACACCAGTGGCAAGGATCCAGGAGGCACCTGATACGTCTGCATCGGGGGTCCTGAGGGCGCCGGGTGGATGAGGTGGCCGGGCGTTTGGCTCTGCTGCAGCTGCGGTGGTGTAATATACGGATTAGCCCAGGGGCCGACAGGAGTGCGTCGATACGGATTATATCCTTGTTGAGATGTTCCTGGGGGCGGACTCCCAAAATTGGAAGGAGGGAGACTGCTTTGTTGAGAAGGCAGGTAAGCATTTATTCCCATCTGCGGCGTGGATGGAGCCCCATACTGAGCCTTGGAAACGGAAGGTGGAAAGGCATTCAGCACATCTTGGGATCCCGTTGTAAAAGGGAGAGTAGTTGGGGGTTTAGAGAATGGAGACTGTCCAACCGATGCTGCTGTAGTTGTTAATGGTGACTGTCCAATAGTTCCAAAAGGATCGCCACTGCTCGGGACCTGAGAGAAGTAGCTAAATGTCTGTGGTGTCGAGGTGTGTACAGAAGTCTGGCCAAGGAAGCTGTCCTCCTCACCGACATCTGTGGAATCCTCTGGAACAGAACAGGAGAGCAAAGCATTCAAAGTCTGTTCCCCATATCACTCTGTGGAAATGAGTCTATGAGGCAGACCTAGCAACTTTACCTCCTTGTTTTACAAACTGACATTTCTGCACTACAGAAAAAACTACAGGGGCCGCAAGGTCAATTACATAATATGGTCCACAAAGGCAATATCCTACACATCCTACTTTGGTGAGCAGCAAGCTGGGTCTAAAAAGCTTGTGAGTAGTCACCTAAGGTGCAACTACTGGTCTCCCCCTGTGAAGAGTGAAGAAAACCAAAACCCCATGGAAATAATTAGTCCAACAGACTAAAGGACACATGAACACCAGTGTTCACAGCAGAAGAATTAGATGGCGCCCGGCTACTACTACCAACTGCTCTGAAAGAGGTCACATTAGAAGGCCCTGCATAGAGTGGGAGAAAACGTCGAACAAAATTCAAAATCATACAAATGGCCAGGCTGACTGGCTGGAGAGACTGGGAGAGTCCCTGAGACGGTGGCCTTTCATCACTGTCCAGGTCTGGAATTGACCGCAATTTTCAGCCAAACAATAGATTATCATATCTGGGGGACAGTAACACTAGAGAGGTGCACACTTCTTAGAATACACAACCACTGAAATCAAAAGGGCAGCATTTACCAGGGATACAGTTCAGAAGGGCTAGAAAAGGAGAAATAGAAACAGAGAAGACAGGGAGGAAGCCAGCTAAGTGATGTTACAATGTAATCAGTGAATCAGTGACAGAAACAAACTCTGTATGAATTTCTGAATGGCAACCTGATTTTCCCTGTGAATCTCCACCCAATTCACAAGAAAATATGAATAAGAAAAAAGCAAAAGGAGGGAAAATTGGAATTCACTCATAAGCCCGCCTCCTAGACAATCACTGTTAACATTTTAGCACCAATTCTCCCATATATTGTTAATAAGTATGTATACAGAAAAGGTTCTCAAAACAGAAACAAAATCTACATGTACCATATTTATAAATTATTCTGAATGCCTTTTTTTCCTGTCAGAAATAATTCAAATGTTATTCCACTTCCAGAATAAAAGTCATTTTATCTCTACAGTAAGACCAACATTCCCTCTGTTGACAAGCAGGGTGTGTCAGAGCCCTTACCGACAAAGCACTTATTGTACAAAGGGACACGTGGTATTTGCATTCCTCTGGCAAAGTGGGTCAACCATTAACTGCCAACCCTCAAACAACACAACATCACAGCTAGACAATTAGTCATTACAGATTGCCAAATCGCTATAAATGTCATTTTCTAACCCAAGGAAGTTCTCATCGCACTTTGATTAACTTGATCTCCACTGGGTTAGAAATTTCCTTGGGTTAAAAAATCACATTTACAGTGATTTGGTATTCACTGCTTAGAAACTCTATACAGGTTTGCTGTGACTCGGAACCAACTAGACAGCACTTAACAACAAAGACTAATTGTCAATCTCTGGGTTATGTGATTTGAGGGCTGGCAGTTAATGGTTGGAAGTCCTGGTGTGGCACTGCAGGATAATGCACTGGACCATAAGGACAGTATGAACTGCAAGGTTAGCAGTTCAAACTCACAGACTACTCCTTGGAAACCCTATACAGGGTAGCTATGAGTCGGAACCAACTCGATGGCACTTAACAACAATTAATGGTTGGCCCACTTTGCCAGGGATACTATCAACACCAAACAATTTATCTTCTGTCCCAAATTCAAGTTATAAAATACAAGCATTTTTCCCTTATGTGACCTCAAAAGTCCACCTCACTTTTCCTTACTCAACTTTGATGAGCCCTTAGTTTGCTGAGACTGTCACCTTCCTCCTGCTCATCTCTCTCACAGGACTCATTCCTTCCTGCCTCCCACTGCTGGCGGGTGGACTCCGCCCAGCACACAGGCACTCTATGGTCCCTGCCCTTGGAGACCTGCCAACAGATGCCTCCTTGCAAGTTCCGAGCTCCTCCTGGATTTCAGCTAAAGGAGGTTACTGGAATATGCTGGGAGGCTGCTCCCCAAGTATCATACACATCAACTAAGATTCAAACTGTCCCTCTGTTGTTTCTTTGTAACAGAAGGATCACTTCCTATCATTCCAGCCCTGTATCTGTTTGTAGCCTTCATTTCCAGTTCATACCCTCCCTCTTCAGAGCCTGTTTGGCATCTGTGCTTCTTAGGTCATCTCCCAACCATTACAAGCTCAGAATAAAATCTCTGTGGCATCACCCTTTACAGAAAGATCAACCTGTTCCAAGACACTCTGTTCTGATGAGCATGATTACAAAGGAAAACCTGATCTCCCCGTACCACTAACCTCACACGGGGCCACTTTCTAATTATATAACACGCATACATCTAACCACAACTTTCATGAGCACCCGGGAGAGGTACAAGTGGTTAAAGAACTCAGCTGCTAACTGAAAGATCAGTGCTTCAAACCCACCAGTTGGTCTGTGGGAGACCGATGTGGCAGTATGCTTCTATGAGGATGGACAGCCTCGGGAACCCTCTAGGGAAGTTCTAGCTTGTCTTACAAGGTTGCTATGAGTCAGAATCAACGCATTGGCAATGAGTTCAGTTTCTGCTTTTGTTTTTTGTACAATTGAGACCCAGTGCAAAGTCAGTTTGAACCACAAAGTTGGCAGTTCAAGCTCACCAGTCACTCGTTGGAAACCCTACACAGGGTCACTATGGGTCAGAACCAACTCGACGGCACTTAACAACAACAACAACTCTCTCTTCAACCTGATCTGTTCTGTGTATTCCAAATCCTACTTGCTACCTATGTCCTCAGCCACATAGAGCTCAAATGTAGGAAGTCCAACACTGGCGTTCTCACCGTAACTGCTGGCACAGGCCTCCCATAACCATCTCGTCCTATCTCAACAGGTGTTTACCAAGATCCACCCAGCCTTCTCTCTCATACCCCTCAGCTAGTCACTCACACACTCACGGAATTCTAGAAGACCGTACCAGGCGTAGCACTGCGTATCTGAGCTGAGATACACGAAGCAGAAGGGTCAATGTGCTCACAAGGTGACGACAGTCTGCCTCCATGAGTCACGAAGCCCCAACAGTTTTCTCACCTAATCTCTCGGCCGTCTGCTCCCCACCCCCACCCAGTGAAGCTGACAGTTGTGCTGGCTCTGTGGTGGCCACCACTCACAGCCCCTGCACCAGCTGACCTTGCTCCAGTCCACCGGACTCCAGGCAGCAAACCTCCTCTTTCTGAAGCACACGCTGGAGATGGTCAATGCTCCTCCCCTCTCCCATATCACAAACCCAAATGTGGAACAAAACTCAAAATCATCAAAAAAAAACAAAACAACCCAAGAGATTGGCAGATCTCCGGAGACTCCGGCTCTTAGTCTCCCTCAGGTCTGGAACTGAACTCACTCCCGCAGCTTAATTTCCAGTTAAACAACAGACAGGTCTATAAGGGACCAGTAACACCAGGGAGGCATATGGTCCTTACAGCAACCAACCAGGACCAAGTTTAGAAGGCAGAAAGGGTTAGGAAAAAAGGAAGACTGGCACTAGGCAGCAGAGAAGGGATGCTAGGTACACTGTGGGGGCTGTACTCAATGACAAGAAAGTGTGTAGGAATGGAAACTGATTTTGCTGTGTACACCTTCACCAAATTCACAGTCAAGAGTCACATAAAAATCACCACCACGCACCCACCACCGTGAACCATGAACGCCTCAGAGTGGGAGATGAGGCCTTTGTGACCTGGTCCCCACCTTGCACAAGACACTGCCCTGCGCGTGCTCTACTCACACTAGCTCCTTGCGGGGAGGGGGGAAATGGCAGGACAGGCAGTGTGCGTGTGATCCATTCCTGTCCTAACCACCCACTACCAACTCCTCCCCAAATCGGCAGACTTTGACATACGCCTTCTCCCCTAAACTCCATGTACCCTGAAATACTCAGCTCAAACATCCATTCCTCAGTAGGCTCTACAGGCCTCAGGGAGGGCGTCTTCTCACCACGCAGCCTAAGACCACAGCTGTCACAGGCGTCTGACAAGCCCTGAGTTCAGACTGCAGTGACTTCCACAGCAGGGTCTGTAGGTACACAGACAGCTGTGCACTGCCTTGGAGTTAGCTTTACGCCACTTCACTTTTACCAAAGAACTATGTAAAGTACCTGCTGCCAAGAACCCAAAGAAATCCAAAGAGGATTTCCACTTTTACGGAAAATGGTGAAAACCAAAACTAGTGTCTGTCTTGCAGCGAGCAGTTGAAGAGGCAGCACGCGCCAAGCTCCCTCCCTGGGAACTCCACTCAGCATCTCAGCATCCAGCAGTCATAGCTCTGAACTGTTGTCTGTGAACACTGGGTGTTAGGGGGTCAGGGGTGAGGTGTTATTTGGTAGGATTTGGTAGGTTATTTTGGAGACTTGGGAATGCTCAAAAAATGTCCCCATACAAATCGGTGGGGATTGCTTCTTCACTTTACTCCATTTCTGCTTAAGGATGTAGTCCTGGTGCGGTACTGCAGGATACAGCACTGGACCACAAGGGCAGTTTGAACCACAGGTCGGCAGTTCAAAATCACCAGCCGCTCCTTGGAAACCCTTCACAGGGTCGCAGGGTCGCTATGAGTCGGAACTGACCAGCAACAGCTGCAGTCCTTGCTGGCTGTTTGTCTCCCTAGCATCGATCACAGCAGGGCCCAGAAAACAAAAGTTATTCAGTCCAAGTTTGCAGAATGAAGGCAACTGTTTCCTACGTGTCTCTTCCACTGATATGATAAACTGTTGCTTCCAGTGACGTGGGCTCTTTTTTTATTCTGGAAGTTTCCTGAATGGCATTCTAACCATGAAATCTTTTTTAGAGGTAAAAAAAATAAGCTTGTTTCAGCATTTCAGTTTTAAAATGCCTAATTTCCTCACAAAAATATATATGCTGTCTCCAAGAAACATGAAGGCTTTCTCCAAAAAAACTGATGTGGCGTTGTATAGCATCAGCCCTGGACTGCGAACCACAAAGTCGGCAGTTCAAACCCACTGGCTGCTCCCTGGAAACCCTATGCAGGGTCGTCATGAGTCGGAACTGACTCGATGGCAACTTAACCACAACATCATAGTTACCCAAGTACTTTAACAATAGAAACAAAACCAAAACCAAACACACTGCCATCGAGGCAATTCTGACCCACAGCAACCTTGTCAAGGGTTTCCGAGCCCCAACAGGAAGCCTCATCTTTCTCCCTGAGATTAGCTGGTGGGTTAGCAGTCCAGGGTTTACACTAGATTAATAGAGAATGGCACACCCAGAGCAAATCTTACTTAGCAAGGAAAATGAGCATGAACCCAGGCAGCATTTGAGAAGTAAAGGATGCTCAGGATGCCCAGATCTTGGTTTTTCTTTCTTTCTACAGCCCTCCATGGCGCTGGGCTCCAGCCACGTGGGTCCTTCTGCAGAGATGTAGAGCCTGAGACAAACACAAGACATCCGTACTCCTGACGCCTGTCTTTTCATTTGTTCAACAAATATCTCTTGCGTAACTGGTCAGGAGGGAGCATGCCAGGCTCTGTTCTAGGCACTGGGGATTAAGAGGTGAGGAAAATGAAGTCCCTCTTTCATGGCACTTATATTCTAATGGCACTGTAGGATCAGCAGTGGACTATGAACCACAAGGTCGATGGTTCAAACCCACCATCTGCTCCTCGGAAATGCATACAGGGTCTGTATGAGTCAGAATCAATGAGAAGACGCTTAACAACCACAACAATATTCTAGTGGGGTAAAATAAACTGTCATACATGCTGAGTGTTCATATGCACCAAGAAGAAACTTAACACAAGCAGAAGCTCACGTTAGGAAGCAGAACTTTGATACTTCTCCATCAAACTTGCCCTAGTCCTCCAGGCACGACAAATTATTTGCTGGTATAGTCAGCACTGATTGAGGATCTATGTATTAGGCATTAAAAATACTGGAAATAAAAGGGTAATTAGGTCATAGCGTAAGTCCACCATTGGTTCAAATGGGGAGGCAGGTTTATTTTATAAACACTCCTTATATAACATTATGTGCCAGGTAAGCCAACGCTTTTTAAAACTTTATTCATTTCTCACTACAGCCCTATGAGGCTGAATATATATAGAAACTGAAGCACAGAGAGGTAAAGCAGCATGCCTGAGATCACACAGCAAGTTGATGGCAAGGCCAGGATTAGAACCCAAACATCCTGTGCTCCTAAGTCCTAGTAATGGTTATGCCAAATAATGGTTTTCAAAACAGCAATCTCCCTAGCCAGTGATAAAGCTATGGACAAGCTGTGGGAACACATAGGGGTGAGGGACTAAGGGAACAAAGGAATTTTTTTCAGAAGTGATATAACGCTTTGAAAGACCAGGAATGCATTCTGCACTTCTACTTTGAAGGTCTGTCTCTCTTCGAAGGGGCCCTGGTGGTGTAGTGGTTAAGCGACTGAATGCGAACAGAAAGGCCGGTGGTTCGAACCCACGCAGTCACTCTTCGGAAGAAGCATGTAGCAGTCGACTTCCGTTTGGAAACCGTGTGGGACAATCGTACTCCACTCGATGGCAAGGCGTTTGGTTTGAGGTTTAGAGACCGTGGGCAGCGCCAGGCAGACTGCAGGCGTTTAACAAACATTTGTGGACTTCCAACTCTGAACGTGGAAGGAGTGTTCATTCCACGACGAACAAGCTCTAGGCCCAGCGTCCCCTACAAGACCCCAGAGCTCCACCCACCCAAGCCCGGGCACTGATATCCCGGGCAGGCTCCCCTGAGGGTCAGATGAGCGCAGGAGACCCTCCCGTGGGCCCGCGTCCCCCCTCGGCCCCTGACCCGCACACACTCCCCCATAGTACCCTCCCCTCCCCACTACCTCCGGGCAAGAGTAGGGAGGCCGGGGAAGCAGCAGCTTGGGTGACTGGGATGAAGGGCACACTGAAGTTGAACTCCGTGGCAGAGGAGGAGAAGAGTAAGTTAGTGCCCGAGGAGGAAGCTGAGGCGCCGCCACTGCCACCGTTCAGTTTCCTCTCGGCCATCGCTGCGGCCCACCGTCCGTTACACGTCTCCCAGTAGCCGGCGTCCACCACCGACCGGAAACCAGTCACCCTCGGGGCCAGCGCACTTCCGTACTTGCGCACAGCGGCTGGCCGGAACTCCGGGGCCACGAGTCAGCAGCCCGCCTCCTTACCTTAGGGGGTGCCGCCAGCAATCAACATGGCGGCGGTGCTGACTTCATGCCCGAGTCCTGACACGTGACACTTCTCCATGGCTGCAAACCTGTCTCAGGGGCAGGGGCGCAGAAGAGTAAGCGCCACTGGTTCGGAAGCACTGCTCGAAGTGAAAGTCACGCGTTGCCAAAGATTCAATGGGCTTCCTGTCACAACAGGAGCCATGACCTGGCAAAGGTCTTGGGGGCACAGGGGAATCCCGCAGGGATTAGCCAGCCCTCTGATGGAAGAGGAAACAGGAAGGAAAGAGTTGTTGACAATTCATTACTAACAACCAGCCAAACTCACCCTCTCTTGCACCCACATCTAATTCATCCAGAATAGAAATGGTAACGCTTTAGATATTCTTAACCTATGCTATTGTGGTTAGGTGCCCTCTAGTCGATTCCAACTCATAGCACTGCGGATCCTGCTCCATCCTCACAATTATTAAGTTTGAGCCAGTTGTTGCTGCCTCCGGGTCACCCTATCTTCTTAAGGGTCTTCCTCTTTTTCACATTACCAAATATGATATCCTTCTGCAAGGATTGGTTCCTCCTGACCACAGGTCCAAAGTACTAGAGATGAACTCTCCCCAATCTCACTTCTAAGGAACATTCTGACTATACTTCTTCCAACACCAGATTAGTTCATTTTTCTGGCAGTCCTTGGTACTTTCAATATTCTTCTCCAACACCATAATTCAAATGCATCAATTCTTCTACAGTCTTCCTTATTTACTGGGACTCCACATGCATATGTTGTTGTTGTTGTTGTTGTTGTTGTTGTTGTTAGGTGCCATCAAGTCAGTACTGACTCATATCAATCTTATGCACAGCAGAACAAAACACTACCCAATCCTGGGACAACCTCACTACTGTTGCCACGCTTGAGTCCATCAATGCTGCCACTTGGCCAATCCATCTCCTTGGAGGTCTTCCTCTTTTTCTCTGACCCTCCAAACATGATATCCTTCTCCAGTATCTGGTCCCTCCTGACAATATGTCTGAAGTATGAGAGACAAATTTTGGCCACCTTGGCCTCCAAGGAGCACTCTGGCTGCACTTCTTGCAAATCGGATCTATTGGTTCTTCTGGCAGCCCATGGCACTTTGAATATCCTCCTCCAGCACCATAACTCAAAAGCATCATTCTTCTATGGTCTTCCTTATTCACTGTCTAACTTTCGCATGCATATGAGGTTATTGAAAATACCATGGCTTGGGTCAGGCTCACCTTAGTCCTCAAGCTGACATCTTTGCTCTTCAACACTTTCTAAAGATCTTGTGCAGTAGATTAGCCTAATGCGATACGTTCTCTGATTTCTTGACTGCTGCTTCCATGAATGTTGATAGTTGATCCAAGAAGAATGAAATCCTTGACAACTTCAATCTTTTGTCCATTGATAAGAATGTTGTTTATTGGTCCAGTGGTGAGGATTTTTGTTTTCTTTACATTGAGATGCAATCTATACCGAAGGCTGTGCTCTTTGATCTTCATCAGTAAATGTTTTAAGTCCTCTTCACTCATGGAAGCAGCAATCAAGAAATCAAATGATGTATTGCATTGGACATGTTGTCAGGTGGGACCAGTCGCTGTAGAAGGGTATCATGTTTGGCAAGGTAGAGGGTCAGAGAAAACGAGGAAGACCCCCAACAAGATGGATTGGCCAAGTTGCAGCATCAATGAGCTCAAGTGTGGCAACGATAGTGAGGTTGGCCCAGATCGGGCAGTGTTTCATTCTGTTGTGCATAGGGTCACTTTGAGTTGGTACTAACTTGATCGCACCTAACAACAACAAACACAACATAAATGAAAAATCCACAAACAAAATGAACTCAGCACAGGAAATTACATTATGCTGAGTAAAATTAGTAAATCACAAAAGAACAAAATTGTATGAGACCACTACTGTTAAAAGTTAAGAAAATATTTTCTTGCTAAATGAAGCAGTCTATGATGGTTACATGGGGATGGGAAGAGGGAATTCTTCACGGGCTAGAGGGTAGACACATGATATCATGGGTGATAGGGCAGGCAATATATATTAAGAGGGAGGTTGACAGGAAAATTGAAGTTATCAGGAGACAGGGAAGAATACAAGAGTTAAAGTTAAAGGAAACTGATGGCACACGGAGGAGATTGCAATCATTGTTACGAAGCAGAGTGTGTGATTTGCTAAATTTAAAACTGATGATTGCTCTGAAAACCTTCACTCAATTCACAATAAAAAGTTTAAAACAAAAACCTTTTCTTGAGATGGTCTGTAAACTCCTGCAGAATGTATTCAAGGTCATATTTTGGCATTCATGAATTTGTTTTCATTTTCGTCAGCTTCAGCCTGAACTTGCATATGAGCAATTGATAGTCTGTTGCACAATTGGTCCCTGGCCTGGTTTTGACTGATGATATCCAGCTTCTCCATTTTCTCTTCCCACAGATGGAGTAAATTTCATTCCTGGGTCTTCTGTCTGCTGAGGTTCACATGTATAATTAGTTGCTTTTTATGCTGTAGTCATTGTTAAGTACTTCAAATTGGTACCAACTCATAGGACCCTAAGCACAACAGAATGAGAGACTGCCCAGTCTTGTGCCAATCTCACAGTTGTTGCTACGCTTGAGCCCATTGCTACTGCCCTTGTGCCAATGCATCTCATTGGGGGCTATCCTCTTTTTCATTGACTCTCCACTGATGTCCTTCTCCAGGGACTGATCCCCCGACAATATGTCCAACCTCGCAGTTCAAACCGACTATGCAGTCTAGCGCATTAACTCACAGCACCACATAATGGCAAATAAATTTAGAATTTTTTTTTTTTCTAATTATAGAATGCAAAGGTTGGGAGCAAAGAGGAAGGATCAGTAGTTGGAAAATATGGTCTTGGTGATAGCAATGATGCTAGAGAATGCATGATAGAATTCTGCAAAATCAATGATTTGTTCATTTCAAATACCTTCTTTAGACAGCATAAGAGACGACTATACACATGGACCTCACCAGAC